AAAGAAATACCTTAGTGCATTAGATTTTCTTAAATGTTAAGACATGTATTTAAAGGTGCATTTCCCCCTCTGTCATCAGAGAGCAGCATGACAAAGGCTTGTTTGACTATGAAACTATAATTGATTTTTGACATGCAAATACCTTACATGCAAATATAGGTGTCTACTGGTTTCTTTTAAATAACTGTTTTCACATAGAATCTATCACTCAAATGATTTAGTTGATCTAAAAATATCCTGTTATAATATTTCCCTAGCCAAACACACTTTCTTCAGTAAAAAATAGTATCAATTTTTAATTGACATAATATTGAAACTTCAAAAAATATAGGATCACGATGCATATTTTAAGTAAATAGATTTCTCTAGGGAATTTTTCTCATCACCTCCCAGCAAAATCCCTCTTGGGCTGAAGCCCGATGTCCTGATTATTGGCCCCAGCATATTTTATTGGAATATTACAAATACCCAAAGCACTGAAACCTTGAGAGAGACATTTGAATAAAGTAATAAAGACAGTGATGACATAATGAAGGCTCCACTTATGCACAGGGGAGAGGCTGCATCACCCTTAAGTGCAGTCCTCATAATGCCCTACCCATGACCTCCACGCTGACCTGCGGAGACCACTGTCTCAAGGGGTGACAGATAATTTAGTCCTTCATCCTTTTGTCATTGAAAACGACTCTACTGCCATAAATTCTAATCAAGTCAAACCAGATGGCAATTTAAAAATAATCTTATAATGCATGTTTCTATGAGGAAGATAACAGAGAGGAAAGGAAAGGAACAGCCCAGTACAGTTTCTAGCCAGGAAGAACCACTGACTCAACTTTCAACCCTTTTCCAATACTTCACAGATAGATGACAATGAAAATACCCACTCTTAGAAGTATCATTGCATGCAATTTCTTTTAACCCAGGAAAACATAAAATCATAAGAGAAAACCAACCACCAATTTTTATTCCAGGTACAATGTTTATATATGGCTTTTTGTTTACATCACAGCTCAAGGCTTGAGAGTTGTGTGCCACAATTCACATGCCGTGTGATACAACTGAGAGGCAAGACTACTAACCCAGCCACCCAAGGGAGTTGGGACTTTAAGAACAGCGATCATGAGGTTTAACTTGAAACAATAAAAATATTCCTGGGAGGAAAGCTGTTAACAAATCATCATTCAAATTTCAAAGATATACGGGAGAAAATATTTGGGGTATGTTTTATGTGGTCTCACTTCTTAGCTGACATGGCATGGGCAAACTTTAGCACAGATATTTCTCTAGGGATATATATTACTTTCACCCTGTCTGTGGCCATTTTCCTGGCCAAGTTGTTGATGCTACCATTTGAGTTTTAGCATCCAACTTGACTGAATGTGGAACACTGAATTCTTGATGGGCATAACTAAAAATGAAGCACCACGTTGACACGAGTGCTATAAATGTCACTAGAGAAACACAACAACCTCTTCCTGTGAGATTCTTTCCCCAAGTTCAATGTGGAGAGTGGTTTTGAATATGTCATCACATATTAAACGGCTGGCCCTGTGCGGCATCACTCATGTGACCATGCAGCTGAAGCACAGTGAGACAGAACCAGATCCTCTGGTAATGCCCTAATGCCCCTTGGAACACACGTCTGCTCTCCTACAAATGGTTTCCTGCGGCTCAGAGCTTAGCATAATACAGTCAGGACCAGAAAAAGGAGATAGCACTTCCACAGGCTTTACCAGAGTAAACAATGCACCACTTAATGATATCACAGAGAACGAGCTAACCACATGTTTCTCAATGAAATGTGGATTCATCTCTCTTAAGTGTACTTTAGTTTCCACGGCTGTTCAAGTTAAGCAAAACGTTGCCTCTGATGTAATTACTCTATAAAACACAAGGGCGCTTTTCGGAACTTTCTACTTAGGCTGGCATATGGCTCCTGGTTTCTCCTTCTGGTATTCTGAGCTGCTCAGAGCACTGAAATATTCTGCACAGTATGTTTCTCTTTGGATGCTGTTAAGTGCAGAGGTGCAATTTAAGGGGAGGCATAAAAGGCCCAATGGCTCCTGGAATTTCCTTTGTTTATCCATAGAGGGCATCAGCATTAGCCTTTCCCCTGCAGTTCTGTGCTGGAGGTGCCATACTGTGAGAGAAACAGACTTGTCCTCTGGACTACTAATTTGAACAAGACACAGGAGGAGGAGTCACCGCCAAAGAAATCTATTCATACTGAAACTTCTCCTGGTGTTGCTTAATGTCTCTCCACAAAAGTAAATCTATCACGGGGTACATGATTTGTCATAATCTGCTTCTTTCATTGGAGGAGCACAGTTTTCAGCTATACAGTATATATATTGTAGGAATGATGCTTTAAGAGAGTATATGAGAAAATCACTATTTAGAAACAAACTTGGATATTCTCAGTTATTCAGGAAATACTGTAATTATTCATTATCAAGTAAAAATTTAATCAACACTACATATAAAAGCAAAAAAGTTGAACATAAATATGGCAAATAAAATAATGGTCTATTAAATGATCACCCATTGAGTGTTGCCAAAGTTGCTAAAAATTCTGGGAGAGAAAGTTTTAGTCAGTTCCACAGGCTAGAATTCCTAAGCTAAGGTCCCAGTGATATTAAAAAGTGAGAGCATAACAGACCCCATAAATAAAATAAATTAATATTTATATTAATATAAATAGAAATCCCAGACAACGTGGGATGCTTTCCTTTCAACGTGCATTCTATTTTCTCTCACATTGTCTCCAGGTTCTTGTTTTCAAGTTTTTAAAATTGTTCATCTACCTAATTGGAAACTGGAAAATATTCACTCTAGAGGCCAAACACAATCAGATGATATGTAAAGAATATAAGATACAATGTAGGTTGTTCTGGGTTCTCTCTTACAGATTCAGAAGTAGAGAAACCCAATATGATTACTAAACTAAACTATGATTCCTACTTCAACTATAAAGATTCTACTTACGATATATCTTCAATGAAGTTTTAATTTAATTTTCTTTAACTCTCTTGGCTTTTGAAAAGCTATTTCACTACCATGCAAATCAGTAAGGAGTGACATAAGTCTATAACAATTTTCAATGGTGGAAAATCTAAATAAATGTTGAAAAGCCAATTTAATTACCCCTCCATTCAAACCAGTGGGGGGAAAATGAGAAGAAGAAAAAACCAAGTTGGGATTATAAGCCAAAGTCTACAAAACACATTTACTTTTTAACAATGCATGGGAAGGGACAAATAATCCTTTATCTGCAGTTAAGTTAAATATACAATCAATTACTTTTGAAAAGTCAAAGTATTAGTTACTCCACATCAGAGAGGCTGGGCATGGCTTTTTGCTTTCCTGAAATTTATAATTTTATCTGAGTTCTCTCACTAACCCACTGAAATGAAATGAGTGTTTTAGGGCATAACTTTTCCTACACGGATAAAAAGAGACTATAACAAAATTTTTCTTTAGAGTGAAAACGCTGACACCTTAATGCCTAGGTATGGGAAATTTATGTCAGCGGTAGAAATGCTGCTTTTCGAAGAACAGGTAATATGATAGAGTCCCTTGAAGCTGGAATCTACTATACTACAGTATTTTACCAATAGAAGAATTAGCAGAGTTTCTCTGCAGCAGCCCCCTAATGTTTGATTGAGTGAACATTTAAAATCAGAGAAACACTCCTCAGGTGAAGCTGGCCTAGAGTTGCCAAACTATCAAAGCTCTTTTCTCTCTACAGGTTAAACAAAAACAAAGCTCCTATTTTAAACTGAATTAACGACTTTCTTAACAAAGCAAACTATGCACTGATTTTTTTTTTTAATTCAGGAGCACAATTGTTTATAACCTGAGACCAAGTTCTCTGCCTGATTATGTACATATATAGGTATCAGGTTTATATGTTAGGTTAAGATAAATATATATGAATATATATATATATATATGCACACACAGGTAAGTATGTATTATATATAGAGATATATAGATATATACATATATACATATGTACATATATACATATATAGATACTTAGTGCTATAAACATTGGAAAATAATTAAGGCAAGTGTTTCAGGAGCCACTGTCCTGAAAGCCGCATGTCCCTCTGTCCCATAAAGCGCTTCTCAGCAGAAACAAGGATCACCATCCATCACTCAGTCACCAGCCCCAACAGCCGCTCGCTCCCCTTTCTGATTAGAGAGCACAGTTGCTGGAGTTGGCTTACGGAGTGTCATCTGTTTGAATAAGCGATGACTTTGCTGGGGTGGCACTCTGCTTGTTTTTTTTTGTTTGTTTTGTTTATGAAACAAAGATTCCTAAAAGGTCCTGAGCTCCCTCCACACCTAGGAAGAGGCTGTGCACATGCTAAAGGGGAGAAGGTCAGACAAGGGACTCAAAGGACCTATATTTCCTTACCTCACCGCCCCCCCCCGCCTTTCTTAAAAAAAAAAAAGAGAGAGACACTAATTGTGATTACAAAATGTTATTTATTTGCACAATCCCTGCAGCCACCTTTGTTTACCTGCCATCGAATGACTGGTATTGATATTTCCTAGCTCCCCTCTGTGGTCTTTTGACTACAGATAATAACACTTTACTCTCCTTCCCCTTAACAAAAGGCTGCAAAGCAAGCTGAAACGGAGTCAATGTTTACCCAATAATTGTTAACCGAGTCTCACAAACGGCACTGATTTCCTGATTATTAGGTCCATCTTCTTCTTTCACATAATTTCTTAGCTGGGGGACTCGCGCAATATTTGACAAGTCGCCATGGGCAGCGGGGAAGTTCCTTGTTGGGAAAAGTTTGGAGGGCACCCTCCTAGCCCGCCGCACTCGCCTCGGCCCCTCGGAGACCCGAGCCTCCTCTTTGGGGGACTCGGGAGAACATTGCATGAACCACAGGGAGAGGGGGGAAAAAAAAGCGGGGGTGGGTGTGCGGAGTGCTGCTCCGGACAGCAGGGCAGCCTGGAATGAAATACCTAGACAGACTTACCGAAGAGCTTGCTGGGAGTGTCCTCGCTGTCATTTGACTCCACGGGCGCCAGCAGAGGCTCATTCAGCTCGCTGTCTGGAGTAGCAGCCTGGTCCTCACCTCTCAACTCCGCATTCATTTCACTCCGCACGGGCAGCGAGGGCTCACGGGCTGGTCCAGCTATCATGGGATCCTAGGACGGGGGAGAGAGCGCAGGGGAGGAAGAAAGTGGCGGCTTCAGCGTGCGTGTCCTCTCTCCCTCTCCCTCTCTTCTCCCTCTTCCCCGCGCGCCCGCTCCCTCTCTCCTCTCTCTCTTATCTCTGGCTGCTCCCGCTGTTATTGCTGGCTGCAGTCAAGTGAAGAGCTATTACAGATCCGAGGGCTTCTCCATTACTCCCCACCCTATTAAAGCTCAACTAGCATGTGAGAGATTCAGGAGGCTTCGGAGGGGGAAGAATTAAAAAAAAGAAGACGAAGAAGAAAAAAAAACTTCTCTGAAAGCAACCTCACCAACACGGCTTTAATTGTGGGATGTGCTTTTGTGCGAATGTTTTTACACCTTGTTCTGTCGTTAATGCAGTCGGAAGAAAGGACGTGCTGGGTTTGTACTTCAGCCACCCGCTGAAAAGGCAGGCGCGCCCTATGGAGGAACCGCCGGCTATTTTAAGAAGCCCTCTCCCTGGGGGACCAGCAATTAAACCCTATCCCCCAGCCAGCGGAGAAAGGGGATCGGGAGAAAAGTCCGCCAAATGCTCTCCCTGGAATAAAAGCGGTTGCTTATGTAAATTCCTTACACACCCTGAGAAGTTGACTCCACCGGTCCCAGATTTGGGACCCACGCTAACCCCAAATCAAATGCACATTTCAAAGCAAACAATGCACCACAACATATAGGAAAACTGGTTTAAACATTTTTAAAGGAATTGGAAAATACTTACAAACTGTGTTCGATAATTCGGAAACCTAGAGCATCATACGCCCAGAGCATTAAAGAAAATGGAAGGGAAAAAAAAAATCCCCTTCAAAAGAGGCAAACTTTCAGCCCCAGGAATTTAAATCTGCTTTATCTCCAGCTCATTAGAAGGGCAATTTAGGATCAGAGAAATATTGTCCAAGTGTAGCCTTTTATTCCATTGGCAAACCAAGATGCATAATATTGTTTTAGCAAAAGTATCGGGTGCAGAAGGGAAAGGAAAGCAAGAAGTGCCCTCTTTGCGTTATCTGGGAGCTATTTATTGCCAAGTTCATGCCTAAATGGTTCCTGGGCAGGAAACAGGTGACCAGTGCAGGAGCAGGTGGGGCCACATGCTCTCGTGTCCCATCATTACATTGGTTGTGGTTTGCCTGTGGTTATTTTTTTAAATGTATTCATGCCTGAAAAGTGAATTTGATATGACACATGATAATCTATGAAAATGTTAATCAATACAAATAGTTTAAGCTGTCATCAAATGCACTTCTTTAGTCAATACTCATACCACTGAAAACAATGTCACTGTCACCAGGGCTTAATTTGCACAGCACTTAAATATTGGACTCTGTGCATCAATGCACTTCTTCTTCAAATACTGTAGGTAAACACATTTTCTCCCTATTTAAGGCTGAAGCACTCAGCACGCATTTAGCTGAGCCGAATCCTCCCTTTTGAATACCTTGATAGGTCCACTGGAGGGCAAAATTAATACTTAATTGAATCTCACAGTCATCAAAATAATCAATACTTTTTTATTATTTATTCTTTACAGTCTGTTGACTGTTTCAAACCTCTGAGGGAATGGTGGAAAGGATTCATGGCTTTGAAACACTGTCATTTAACAAGGTAATTTTCAGTGGGGCATTAGGGGTTGTGAAACATATAATAAAACAAAAATGGTGGCTTATAATAGGAAGAAAGAAAAGAATTATATTTCTGCCATCTAACAAAACAGGATAAACAAAAAGCAAGTGGAGAGAGAGAGAGAGAGAGAGAGAGAGAGAGAGAGAGAGAGAGAGAAAGGAGGGGACGGGGGCGCAGGAAAGACTGGCTTTTGAAGGGTTTTATCATATCAAGAGCAGAGCAGAGCTTTCATAATGCTGACATTTCTCATCCTGACAATCCTAAACAAGTGGAAAGGATGAGACCGCAGATATCATCTTTCATCACATTCCCCAGCTTAAGAACCAACATGACAGCTCCTCTCCCCTTTACACTGTTAATTACTAAATAAAATACCACTCTCTGTCAGCATCAGATGATTGCAGATAGCAACCACAAACATCTCTCCATTGTCCCCCCACCCCCACCCTGCGCACCCTGAAACAGTGATACCTACCTTGAACTCTTTAGAAAATAAATTAGGCTTGTCTTCCTATATTGTAAATATCTGAAATGTAATCAATGTAATCAAATTGGTCGATCGCAGTATTGGCAGCCTAAATTTGCTGGTGATAGATTAGCATTTCATCTACTGTGTTTGGCTGCTGAGATTTGGAGAGCTTGAAATAAATTTGGGACGGAAAGCAGACAGAGGGGAAAGGAGACACAAAATTCTCAGATTTCCCCCAAATTTTTTTCCTGTGTATCTAAGAAAGAATATGTGTTTGGATTCGTTGGATTCAGCTACTAGAGCTGAGTGGGTTGAGAAAGGAGCACTCACTGCTTTATCTCATGGCTTTGATATGTATACTTATCACATGAGGTAAAGAACCTGGATTTACATTCTAATATGTTCTTTTCCTTTTATGAAATGCTCAATACTCAATATCTCTAAGCTAATGGAAGGGGTGTGACTTGTGCCTAGTCTTTGAGGCCACCCTGCTCATTTGAGCATTATTTAAGGTAGTGTTCATGGCAAACTGTGTTTAGAATGGCATGCACTACCTCATGATAAGCCAAATATGGTTATTAGTGTACCAGTGAATATCCGGGTAATCTTAAAACAAGAATATTCTCTTCTTGCTTTATTTGTAAATGGTCAACTGAAGCTTGAACCACACAGAGGAGCCAAAATGCAGCTGCTAAGTTCAAGTGCACTTAAATCTCTAAGATGCTCAGTCTGGTTGATGTGTGCAAAGCACGTCCTGGCAGATGGTATATATTCACTGACCATTAGCTCTCCTTTTTAAAATTACTGTTAGGTACCTCATACATGGCTAGGTCCTCAACTAGTATCTTTCGGTGACTTGAGCCTGGAAATTTCAGGAGTTCGTTATTCAAGTATTCATTTGATTTCTCATCTCACAAAACACTTTACATTGGCCATGATGCAGCTGCAGCCCACATATATATGTGCCTGACATGGTTAAACAGGAAACCTCCAGTGAGGCAGAGAGCAGACAGCTTTTAATCACAGCTGCAGCCACTGGGGGGTCCATTTGAAAATGTGTCACAAGCAGTAACCACTGAGTACAGTCATATATGTGAGGGGGGAGTGCCTCTTTCAGGCAGCACAGGGCCTGGGAGTCATTCTCTCCCGGCCAAAAGCGACAGCAGTCCGTAAAATCCCTTTCTGCCGGAGTGGAGAAATGGCTTTCCGATGTGCACCTGCACAGAGGCTGGCAGGAATGTAAGAGAGCGGCAAGTTCCTCATGTACCAGGATGCCTGCAGCAGCAAGCGGGAACGGAAAGAGCCAGTGCCAGCAAAAAATCAAGCTGGTGAAGACCTTTTACTTGAAAATCTGAAATTGTCACACAACAGGTGAAGAAGCCGGAACTTCCCTGCAATGCGTTTGTCAGCCCTGAGAGAAGAAAGTGACTGGTCCGCTATGAACGATGGTGAGATGTGCAAGAACAGGACACAGTATGTTCCCATAAAGAACACTCGCAAGGTTCATCGGAGACCCAAGAGCCAGGTGGTAAGAAAAGCAGCGTGAGAGGTAGTTCCTATTAGCAAAATCTTAACAAAAATTTCAACATAACGGAAGGACTGCAATCAAACTCAGAACGACGCAGAAATCATTTCAATCTCCTCCAGGCATTGTCACAGAATAAAAATATGCCCCATGTATCAAATGCCTTTACCAGATAGGCACTTCTAATATATTTAATGTCACCCAAACGGTGCCAGGTATTAGCCCCATTTTAGAGTTACAAGACTAAGACTCAGAGAGGCTAAGTGACTTGTCCCAAAGCCATACAGCGAATCAGTGGTGAAGCTGTATCTGAGCTCCCGTAGACTCATCTCCAAAGACGGGCATCTTTCTGTACTGTACAGCGGGCACTGCGTGAAAACACCCATGGACTTAGGAACTCATGGCATTTTCTAGAACTTGAATTATGGACCATAAAGGGTCTTAAACTCTGGATAATGGATTCCCAGGGGACGCTCTGTTGGTATCTCTTCCCTTCAGACTCTAAGAACAAAGCACTTGTCTGTCCAACGCTGCGTGGGTGAAATCCATGGGGCGGTATGGTGTGGTAGGACACCAGGCGGTGTCAACTGTCCAGGCATGCACTCAGGTTCACTCTGTACATAAATTCAGCAAACCATTTAACCACTCTCACCCCTGGTTTTCTCATCTGGAAAATGAAAACGTTGGAATAAAACAGTATTTTCCAAAGCCTGTACCACAGAACACTTGTCCCAAAAGATATTCTACAATAAGAGAGTTTTGCTCTTGGCTGGTGTTCTCAGTGGTTGAGTGCTGACCCAGGAACCAAAAAGTCACCAGTTCGATTCCCAGTCAGGGCACATGCCCTGGTTGCAGGCTCCATCCTTGGTGGAAGGGTGCAGGAGGCAGCTGATCAATGATGTTTCTCTCTCATTGATGTTTCTATCTCTCTATCCCTATCCTTTCCTCTCTCTCTCTCTAGAAATCAATAAAACCATTTAAAAAAAAGTTTTGCAATTACACACACATGAAAAACATAGTAGAAAAGTCTTCCAGGAAAGAAACAAATTTAACTCTGCTTAACATAACATTTCCCCAAATTATACAACTATGGAAGGCCTTTCCCTTATCATCTTTATTATATTACCTAATGGATCTAGTGCTTCTTGAAACTCATTTTAGAATGTGCACACTTAAATGACAGTGAATGTAAATGAGCTCGTGTAAGTCAGAGCTCTAACTTTTAATAATTCTGCAATAATAGGCTAGAAGGCTTCACCAAGTTCACTTCTGTCCAGTGCTTCTCATATTCTAATAATTTTTACCTCATTAACATTCCTTTCAGTTTATTTATATATAACTATATACAGACTAGTACATGGTAATTCTC